TTTTTACAGCAAATTTTTAGATGTTGAATTTTTTTACACCGAATTTTTAGACGTTGAATTTTTTACAGCGAATTTTTAGACGTTGAATTTTTTACAGCAAATTTTCAGACGTTGAATTTTTTTTACAGCGAATTTTTAGACGTTGAATTTTTTTTACAGCAAATTTTTAGCCGTTGAATTTTTTCACAGCGAATTTTTAGACGTTGAATTTTTAACAGCGAATTTTTTATCACTGAATTTTTTTACGTTGAAAATTCAGAGGCATTTTTTATTCAAATCCTGATGGCACATATTTACTTCCATAGAGATCAGATAGAAGTGACTATAAGACAAGGAGAAGAGCTATACAATGCTATATATTTATGCATTCTGTTAACTAAGGTCAAAATATATTGACATTTTAATATAGGCCTACATCACTTCATTAGTTGAGAAAACATAAGAGTGTTTTGTCCACCTGAGTGAACAAACATATAGACAAATCCTAGAAAAAATCATTTTTTGCAATTTTTTTCCCCCCACTTTTTTTCTATACCCTAAGAAAATCAAAAACACATTTTTTTTAAAAATCCTGACTTACAGGATCATAATTCATGCTTGTAAGGGTTGGGCTTCTTTATCTTTTTGTTGAGGCTATGGGTGGGGATTAGGATATCTGACCCTCCTTTCTCATGTTGTGTCCTCTACATGGGTTAAGGCAAATTACAAGTGGATCTCTTATGGTCTTTCTATAATGATGTTTTTTTTTTTTACTTATACTCTTCAGATATAATATGCTTTAATTTCTGAGTTTTGTAATGTAAAATTGAGTTTGTTTATTCTACTTAAAGTACATTATTTTTCTTATTATTCTCCTGTTGTCTTTGTATTGGATTCTTTTGTTTTCTCTGGATTTTCATCAGTTGGCGTTCTTTTCATTGAATATATTCACATCAGCACTCAACCCCTCCAATCTGCTGGATTTGAGTCCTCATCTTCAACCACAAACCATGACATTTCTTTCTTCAAAAGAACTTTCCATTACGTTTTTTCCACTGCAGTGATGTTTTCTTCATTTATATCTATATCCAAACTCTAACCCCAAAACAGGATTTCTTCTTATAGGAAGAAATGAGGCTTTGGGCCTCAATGGCAGCACCTGTTCCTCAATATGAGAATTGACAAAACACACACAGTTTTAACTTTTCAGCTGATCTTGAAATTAGCTTCTTGTTTCATAACTTATATATGTTAATGATTTTAAAGACTTTGTGCTTCCTTGAAACAGCTCTGAAATTTAAAATGTTTAAACTTGTCCAACTCAGGGTGATATATTCCATCATAAAGGAAGGAACATTCCTTAAAACAGTTTGTGAATTGTATTTTTTTACACTGTCAAAGAACAATATGTGACTTTATTTTGTACTTGGGAGGCAAAACCTTTCCATAATTTTTTTTATCTCAATGAAATTTCAGCCTGCACATCACTCATATGACACTAGGATATTCTATGTGTTGCATTTTGTTTTAATGCTAACCCCATCTCTTTAGAAAAGTTAGAAAGTGTATATTAATATGCACTGTTAATATACAGCAGAGGTGCCTAAGAGGTGGACATGACTCTATAACGCACATTAACATGATGAGGTTCTATGGAACACCAGGGTTCAATCCCTGGCTGGTGCTCTTCATCCATCCATTGCCTTACACCATTATCCCTAGTGGGGTCGGGAAGGATATGGTGCCTATCTCCAGCGAGACATTCCAGGTACACCCTGGACAGGTTGTGAGTCCATCGCAGGCTGATGCTCTATTAAAGCTATTCTGTTTCTCTATGTTATTGGTATGAGGCATGAAAACCTTTACTTTTAGTTACATTTTATTTTATAATGGAGCTGTTTAAATAGGAGCCTTCCCACTGATGAGCTGTACAACTGCACTGTCACTTATCAATGTGACTTTAACATTTCTAAGTAGCTAGTTTCTGAAAGCCTAGGGCAGCCCTGCTGTACAATTTAGTGGGGTTCTCTGTGGTCAGACCTACATAAATAAATGAAAAACTCCACAGAATTGCAGGTTTCAATGAAGGCAATAATGTAGTCAGCATCACATTTTGACATTTACATATTTTGGTGAATCTGAAATACAATAGATATTGGCATTTTGTTTATACAAATAAAATTATCCTCCTTTTTTTATGTTAAATAAGTGCAGCATCAAAAATATGATAAATTCTTTGCTGAATCACATTCACGTATTGATTTTGTCCATGCAAACTTGCCATTTTGCAGCACGAATAGTATTGTTCTTTTTGTTAAATATATTCTCCTTATGTTGTGATTAAAATGTCTAATTCCATTGGAGAGGAATGCACACTTTTAGGCTTCTTCTTTTCTCGCGTTGCCATGTTAAATCATGTTATCTGCATTTCATATATGAGGGGTTCTTCTTTATTGTCACTCACGCTTAACTCAACAGTAACTTGATTCAGAATGGAGTTACCTAGTTAGATTAGTCAGATAAAAACAGAGTGAGAAAGAGTTGTCAGTATGTCCTCTTGCCTCTTGCAGGATAATCATATGTCATAAAGTAGAGGTGTGGAAGTGGTGAGGCAAACGTGGTGGAACCAGGTTGAAATGAAATGATGATTTTAATTATTAAAAAAGTACAAAATAATCCAAAGTCCAAAATGCTGGCAGCACTGCTGAGCGGAAGTCCAGGGCTCAACACAGGCAGCAACAGGGTTTACAAATGGTCAGAATAGAGAGACTGGAAATAACAAACAACTAGGACCCAACGAGGAACAAAGGATACGGGTGGGGTTAAATACATAGAAGGTAATCACAGAAACGAGACACAGGGTTAGGGTGAAATCACAGTTTGATTTCATCCTAACCCTGGGAATAATCAAGGGGAGACAGGACAACACGAAGACTCAAAGACACAGAAAACTCAAAATAAACACAGAGAACAACACAGAACATCACATGATGACAAAAGCTCAAAATCACCCGTTGCAAGTCACTATATTGTCATACGTGTTTACGGAAGCCACAATGCAGGGAGTGTGAGGAGTAAGCACAATGAAGATGCTTAATAATGCAAAGGTAAACTTACAAAAGCAAAGTCCAAGAAACCAGAAAGATGAACTAAAGAAAATAAATAGGTCCTAAAGCAGTGAAGCAAAGAACAATAACAACCAGCGAGCTTATGTTTGGAAAGAAGAGTTTGAGAATGATAGTGGATGCAGATGTGAAACTGCTGTGGGAGAGAGCAAACAGCAGGCTGGGGAGAGGTGAGTAATTAACACAAAGAAAGCTGAACTGGACACAAAGAAACTAAACAATGGGAAATACAGACAGTAATTAAAGAGAAATACATCCAAATGAGTAAAGAATAGAACACAATAATAAATAAACTAAGACATTAAACAAAGAAATGTACTGCCAAGATAAATAATGATTAAAAAAAAATCAGAATGATTTGAGAGAAACCCCAATACCTGGGGTTTATCACAACTATGAGCTTAGCTTTATTTATATATTTGTTTATATGTTTCCCTCATGTATTGTTCATGAGGCAGACACCCTTTCAACTCTTAAGAGTAGGCTTGAAATGCTTTTTTTATATTGCTGATGTATATACACTGCTCAAAAAATAAAAGGAACACTCAAATAACACATCCTAGATCTGAATGAATGAAATAAATATGAAAATAATTTCCACCTGTTGTCTATTCCATTTGCACAACAGCAGGTGATATTGATTGTCAATCAGTGTTGCTTTCTAAGTGGACAGTTTGATTTCACAGAAGTTTGATTTACTTGGAGTTATATTGTGTTGTTTGAGTGTTCCCTTTATTTTTTTGAGCAGTATATATTAATCTATCCATCCTTCCATTTACTTACACCCTTGTCCCTAGTGGGGTTGGAACGTACTGGTGCCTACCTCCAGCTAATGTTCTGGGAGAGAGGTGGGGTACACCCTGGACAGATCACCAGTCTGTCGCAGGGCAAATGTCTGTCTGTCTGTCGATATATATGTAGGCTGAGTTGAAGTCTCAATTTTAGAGGTTTGCATTCTGTGTGTGTGAGCCAAACAAACAATGTGGCTTTTATGCTTGACATGTAAAAGAGCACTCACAGAGGGTTTCACATAAATGCCGGTGTAGGGGGTCCTGATCTGTAATAAACCTTTTTAAAGTGTCCAGTTTGAATTGTGGCAAACTGCATGGTGGTGGGTTGCAGGATCGGAATACCCTGGATGGGAGTCCAGCCTTTTTTCCAGAGATAAAAATCACCAAGTGGTAACATGCAGGTGCGGGCATGCTCCTCTTGCCTCATTCATTGTATCAACTATTAGCATAGCTGTATCCCCACTGCTGCAATTTTAAATTCCAACCTATAAAGACAATAAAGTCAAGCTTGTTCTGATATTGCAAATACTAATAAAATATATTTTGAAAACTCAAAGACTTGGTCAAAGTAACTAATACCTGTGGTAGTTTTTTGTTTGTTTGTTTTACATTTTAAAATGGAGCTGATGAAGGTTCCCCAGGTTCTTCTTTAAAAAAAAAAAAAAAAAAAGTTTAGTAGTCCTTTATTTCAGGTCTTTGAGCCTTTAATCAGACACCAACTTCAGTATCGTCTTTGGTGATTTGAGGGCTTAGGGAACCTGTCCACTACACACTTGCCCCCCTATGTGGGCTCCCCAGTCATAGAAACAGATGGAAGAAGGCCGACCAATCACAGAGGTCGGATAACAATCAATGGAAGTTTGAGTTTGAGAGTTTTGAACTCGCAAAGAAAAAACTGAAAGGAGGAAGAACGGGACAACTTAAAACCGTGGCAGAAGCACTATAAAAAGCAGATTTGTAATTATTAACGTTGTTACTTTTATCCAAAGGCTGGCTGTTAACGTAAAAGCTCTTCCTCCCTGTGCCTCTCTCTCCCCTCTCCACCAACCCCGAAGTCAAAGCAGAGCAGAGCAAAGCAGAGCAGAGCGGAGCGGCAGGCGGCGGCAGCGCTCAGCTCTGGAAGACACTTTGCTTCAGACGGTCTCCTCAAAGCTCAAATAGGGCGCCGACTTCCACCGAGACGGAGGAAAAAACGCCTGAAGCTTGCTTCAAATAGGAAGAGAATCCCAGTGAGTAAAAACTGAATAATTAAGATATATTTGAAGTGGCGTAGTTTTGGTCGGAAGCAGCTGAAGACTGGGACTGAAAAAAGCGAAGAAGCCTGAACCGGCGTCGCAGCAACAGCTTTTAGGTTTGACCCACTCGTTGTGTTTATCTATTTTTGTTTTCCATTCAGTACAAACCCATTTCCCTCAGACACACACAAGCTGCTCTCTCTCTCTCTCTCTCTGTGTGTGTGTGTGTGTGCGTGTGTGTTTTAAAACCCGTGTGTCGTAAATTTCCCCCGTTCAATTTGAGCTGCTGGAGCATCACAGCGCGACAAGTGAAATACGAGAGAAGGAGCGGAAATCATTTACTGCTGGCGTTAAAGTTGAGGGGGAAAGAGCAAAGTGGTACCCGAGATTAAAAGCAACCACAGGATCTCATTTTTTTTCAACCCAAATCCAGAGTTATTCACAGACTGAATTACTAGATTGTTGCAGAGAATAAGCCGATAAAACACACTGGAACGTATTCACTTTTCTGTTCATCAATCCAAATAAAAAGAGGCGTCGTGGGTCTCACAAGCTCTCTGGATCGCAGTGAGAGATTACGGTTTTCTAAAACCTGCCTTTTTTGAACGCTTGGCTCGGGAAGCTGAAAGGCTTGGCAGTGGGGAAAAACTCCTGGATCTTCAGTCCTGATCTGCGCTGCCAGCTTTTGGAGCACCGAAACATCGAGGCTCTTCTGCCGCAACACGCCGCGCGGGGCAGGAAGAGCTGCTGGAGTGAACCGGACTTTCTCCACCGCTTTTACGCGTGAGGATGAACCCGAGAGGCAGCAGTGAGAGATCCCGGAATGGGAATCTGCCTCTTTTCCTGATCCTTCTCGCCTGCAGCTCCCACATGTTGCACGGCCAAGGTAAGAGAGCTGTTTTTGATTTATCTGAAATCATTCGAGCAAAAATAAATACACAATGACTTTTTGATCAGTAAAAAATATAGGCTATTAGAAAGCATCAGCTGACAAACTCATCACTAACAATAACGAACAAGGGAGAGGTGAGATAAAGAACCCTGGAGAAAAACACAATGATTCATCAAAGTCAGTCTGGCAATTTGGAAACATATTTAGAGATTCTATTTTTCTTTTCTATTTAACTCCAGATACAGGCTAATGCGTATAATCAGCTATTGCTGTAATCCATGGAAGCAAGGGTGTAACTTTGTGCTGCAAGTTGGTGGGGACATGTGCTGATGAGGAAGATGCCTTTTTTGTGCTGAGAATACAGCCAGGACTTACCACACAGTCTTATTCAATAAATTAGGATGAACATCCTGACAAGACTTGTCAGATTAATAGTATATTTCAAAAATTAAATCTTTTAGCAACTATTAAAACATACTAAGAGCTATAAAGATGTTAAAACATTGGTTGGGGAGTGGAGTGACCATCAATATTACTGGATTGGACATCACCCATTCGCCATTACAGCTAGTGATGTGAACTTGTGGATGCCATTACTATGCTTTATTTGATGTCCACTAAACCAGACTGTTCCAATGCAGGGTAAGCAGGAATCTGTCACAAAAAATGGTTGCAGCCCCCATATTTCTTATTCAGTTTCTATACATTTTTAGATTTATTTATTTGTATCCCAAATGGGCAATCGGTGTTGCAGTAAGTACAAAGAATTAAAAGACAAAGTGAATTTTGTCTTAAATTAAAGCTGAGAAAAGTGCTGATGTTTGGATATATATAAAATATCTATATCTCTCCAGACATAAACCTGTAAACAGCTTGGTTTCTGTCAGTTTTGTCAAGATACCAGCGGTGGTTTATTAGCCGATTTAAACACCTGCTTTAATGATAATCTGTCAGAAAGTAGATATTTAGATTGCCTCATTTGAGTTAACTACTCCGAAACACACCAATCTGCACAGCGTGGGTTAATATTATGGTTGTCTAAGTCAAGCTATAGCTTTAGACTACTAACCCTGAGACTTTATATATATTTTTTAATTTAAACCCTTTACTGACCTGTGAAATGTGATTCTTTTAGATCTTATCTTGCTGTTGTAGTGTTGACCATTAATAGAAAAACATTGCTTCCCTCTTTCAGATTTTTTATTGATTGTGTCTTTTTCCCGACCACTGATATTCCAGACTAAATGCAAAGTAACAGCAGATGTGGCGCACTGCTGCATTCTGTATGACACATAAAGGAGAGGAGGTGGAAATTTTGGTGGGTACAGTCCCCATCAGGTCACAGTTGGCGGGTCCATGTCCACACCATTACATTGTCACATAAAATGAAAAAGCTTTAATCTATTATTTGGGAAAGTTTATGTGACAGACCAGTACAAAATAGTGTGTAATTGTGATTCTTAACCCTCATAATTTTTGTTGTAGTCACAACTACAGAAATATAGTTGCCTCTATATTTGTCTTGGAAATATAAAGGCTTAGAATTTTTCCAGTTTTAATGCACAAAATATCTCGGAGTCAGGGTAGATGTAGGGTGAAAATAAACTATAATTTTCATGTTTTGCCAAATCTTCCTAATTAGATTTAGGACTGGGACATTGCAAACATAACAATATGCTTTGATGGAAACCATCCCATGCTGACTGCATGTTCAGGGTTCTTGTTTGGTGGGAAGGAGAATCTCAGCAGCAGGAAGTATTTTGAAGCCTCAGACAGGTTTTCTTCCCAACGTCTCTTGATATCTCTCTGGTTCCTGCTAAAGAAAATTATCTCCAAAGCATAATTCTGGCATTACCATGTTTCACAATTGTGTGAGTTCCATTGTGAAACTCACACATTTCTACCACACAAAAATGTTTTGGCCAAAAGAACATAAAAGAGCCAATCTTCACAATATTTAAATTTAAATAGATTGATTGTGTTTGTTTATCAAATAAAATTTCAATAAATTTTACTAATGTTTGTTTATAATGTGACAAAATCCGAACAATTTCAGCTGTGATGAATACTGTTTTGAGATACTCAATATGACTGGATCTGTGCAGGGGTGCCTCCAAAAAGTTATGTGAAAGCTGAAATTTTTCTAAATTTACCAAGAATATTGCTGAGTTGGCAACTTAGAAAAAAATGATCATCTTGGTGATTTATCACTTCAACCCCAGTAAGCTGCTGTGTGAAAGACATTTTGGTCAAATGAGGTGAAAATGCCTGATCTGATTGATATTTTTTTAAGAATGGTGCTAGACAGCTCTGAAGAAATTGGCTTTATTTATATATTAGTTCATGTTTTTGAGTCCCTGCAAAATGACCATAATCTTAAAATAGGTCCCAACCCAAATATGCTATATTTCATCATCTGAAAATTTAATTTAAAGTAGGGGTGCACTGATATTACGACCAGCTGATAAATCAACTCTGATTTTCTTAGATTTGGAAGATGTGTAATTGGCTGATACTTATATGTGAAGTGGCTCTTATCCATTGATCTTCTTTACCTTGCCAAATATCTAAAAATCAAGTCACATTTTTGCTCTGCTGTGAGAGTCTGACTTACAGATCTGCCCACCATGTCCTGTCTGCCCATTCATTGTTAATAATAGTTGCCTGACTATTACCAACCCAGCAATTTTTATTTCCATAAAAAAAAAAAATCAAAAAAAAAATCAGTAATTTAGACATAGGGAGGGAAACATAACTAAAGTGTATTTTTCAAAAAATATTGGATGGAATTCTATCAAGCAAATTTATAGAGGCAGTCAGTGCCCCCACTCACGTATTTGGTGGCCGCATGGGTCTGAAAACGGTGTCTAGTCTCTGGTAAGCATGCTCTTAATCAGCAACCTTCTTAATGACAGCAGCTGATTTGGCAGGAGAGTTTACAAATGCGCAAACAATTAAACTCATGCAGACACAACATATTAACATAAGCTGCCCTGTATTCTGGTCCAGCTGACCAGAATAGGCAGGTGTTAGTATTAGTATGTGAGGCCTAATACTAATCCATTGATCCTGTGGCTGCAGACTGTGGCAACTGTTGAATATCACTACAGAGGAGAAGTCGGATATGATGAGATATTGATTTCTCACCAAAGCTAGAAATACTGAGTTGCCATGCCTCATCGGTGTACATGTGCTTCTTTTTTTCCTTGTAGCTCCGGTTCAGGGGAAGTTGTGCTGCTGAATGTAGGGCAGCATGTTTCTGTTCTGTGTCCTCACTGTGTCACAGTGGCAAAACAAAAGCACAGAAAAGGTCAGACTGGGTGTCGACACGCAAGCCTTTCTGTGGGTCACAGATGGCGCAGTGGGAGAAGAGGGGGAGGCTGAGACTTTTTTGAAAAAGTGGGTAGGGGATTTGGTGGGTCTCAGGAATGTCTGTGTGAAAGAGAAGTGGGGGTACACTGCTTCAGTGAGAGTGGGGAGGGCTAGTAGAGATAGATTGGTAGTGAAAGGTGGGAATGTGGTGCACCATGGCTGTCACTGAGAAAGCTGTGCCTGCAGTTTAATCGATGATGATGATTATATGACAACTCCTCAGTGTGTGTCAAAACTTGCTCCTTGTTGCACAGTTTGCTTTTCCCCCATCCCTCACTTCTTTTTCCTGTGGCTGCAGAGTCAGCTCTTTCAATTCTCCCATTAATGTCAAGGTCTCACCATAAGATCCAAGTCGACAACCCTCTGGCTCCTCCACAAATACTTTTCCCACCCTTAAATCCCTCCAGCTCCTCCCAGCTGTCTTGACTGAAGGGGTTGTGGTTTGGGATGTAGATGAGGGGGAGTTAAACTGAAAATGAGTGAACCAAATTTGGGACAAGGCTGGGCTGGTGGAAGGGGAAGAAGTTGGACTATTGATATGGTAAGCATCGCCAAGTGACCAATCGAAGCCTGTAGATTTTCCAGGCTCCGACCCCTTCGTCTCGCATTTATTAGGACGTTTGGTTTTAGGAGCGGAAAGATGAAATTCATGACGCAAGTTTGATTCTGATCCTCTCACCTCCCACCCCCTTCTGCCTCTATTGCTTCCTCCCTCCTTTCTCACAGTCAATCGATGCCCACACCCCTCCTCATAAATTTGAAGGTTTATATGAGCCAAATCGTCGTTTCTGGGAGCACATTTAAATAAGCTCATCAATCTTTCATTTTAAAGTTAAATCATGGCAGCATTTTGCTGTCTCTTTGCTGCCACTTTTTCTAGTCTGCACCACTTATCTGCTCACCTCTCCACCCTCTTTCTTCGTTATTCATAACTCACCTCTCTGCTCCCTCCACCTCCGACACTGCCTCTCTGTCACAGAGTGGTCTCTGTTCCACAGCCATTTGACTTATTCACATCTCCAGAAAAGATTCAGACTGCACCCAAACCTGGTCTTCGGTGGGAGTTGGAGGAGAGGTCATTGTCTTTTTAAAAATGTCATGCAACATTACAGACAGACTTTGTATGAAATCCAGTGCTGTCTTTAATAGTGCAGATGGAGGATGAAAAGCTACAGTGACTTGGAAAAGTTTCATACACCTTATGTCATCCACAGTTTGTTACGTTACACCCTTAAGTGTATTTTTGCAGAGTTGTACATGTACAAAGTAGTTCATAGTTGTGAAGTTGGAGGATGACATGAAGTTTTTAAAGTTTTTTGCACATCTACACAGAATATTTTTCTTATTAATTATTGCAAAAATAATTCATAGAAATAGCATGAAGCACATAATGTGAACAATAATCTTCAACAATTTCCATAGATATTCAATTGAATTTTGTACCGGGCATTGACTGATTCGTTCTTGCGTGTCAGCATACTTCACTCTAAACCAGGGGAGCTCAAACTTTTTGAGACTAAGATCTACTTTTTCTCTCAGCAGCCAGCTGAGATCTACCTCATGACACGAAGACATAAAAATTGTAAATTAAACCCTATTGACTCATTTCCTATATGAATATA